AATGACATGAATGCGGACTTTAAAAAAACATAATTAGCAGACTATGTGTTCTTCCAGACTATGTTCTACATATATGACAAATTTCATCGAGATACATTTAGCCGTTCTGGAGATACCTTCAAACAAACATCCATCGATCCACCTTTTTTTTCAGAGAGGAATGCTTTATGCATACTCCGCGCCCCCGGGAGGGACGCGGTAGTTATGTGGGATTCTCCTGCATAGCGGAGGCATACCCACTAAACCCCTCTGTTCCTCCAACGCATCGGGACGGAACCACGGGCACGCTTTCGCTCTCGTCCGCGGCCCCGTCTGCAACCATCGATCCACCTAAAGATTCTCATTTATAATATTAGTAGATATTAGTAATTGTCTTTTTAGTTCTAGATTGTCTGCAAAACATAAGTAAAAATACATTTTACAAAAACATCAATACAGGTCAAAGTTGAAAGATCGTAAGATCAAAAACATGTGCGTAATTAGCGTAACTTATTTTTAATATGATGCAAATGGTGTTATATTTACTAAAAATTGTTTTAAAACCAGAATTTACTTTTAGAAAAACACTAAAACTTAATTAAATAGTTGTTTTTAATTTTATAATTGACTAGCTGTCGCTTGCGACAGTCCGCGCGGAATTTAAAAACTTAATAAGTAGCTTATGTGTTCTTCCAGAATGATCTATATCTGTGCCAATTCAGTGAGATCCGTGCACATCCATCCATACATTCATCTAAATATTCGCATTTATATTATTAATAAGATAACTCAATGAATTACTTTCTTTCGTCATTCAAATATACCGTAGCAACGACCGCAAGGCAACATTCATTGTGATAACGAAAAATGTCTACATACGTACAAAGTCATACAACCACGTGCTTAATGATAGTTGTTGGGACACGTATTATCTTGATGATTTACTATTTGATTAAATTAAAATATCAAATAAAATCATCAATTGATGATAATGATTTTTCTGAAAGTAAGATTGCCAGGCGTCCGGATAACAGTGGTAGAGCACGCTTTAACATCTTCGCATGAATTGGCCCGGCTTGCCCGGTGAAATACCACGACCACACAGAAGACAGGCGTCAAGTAGAAGCAATTCGGCGTTTCGTCTAATGAGTGTGCGTCCCGGAGGCCTAATTTAGTACTCTTTCCCTTCCCACCTTTTTCTTATAAGGAAATAATGGGAAGTGGAATTGGACTTTCTGGGTGAGAGGATGTATGGAAAGGGAATATATTTTCTTTCGGTGCATCCTCTCCTCCGTCGATGAAAGGTAGGCAACGCATTTGCAATTGCGTATGTCTATGGGCAACGGTCATTTCGCTATATCAGTGATTTCTGGTGGCCGCTTGCTCGTTTGCCACCTTATGAATAAAAAAAAAGCCAGATATAGGTACAAGTAAAATGTCGGTGTCCAGGTTGTCCGGCTTTTTTTTAGGATTTTTACATTTAGGAAAAGAAAGTCGACTGACGGTTGCATGTAGGATGTCCGGCCGTTCTACCGAAATGTCCGGCCAAATCACAGTTTTGTCACAGTTGTAGAATATAGTCTGGAAGAACAAATAGTTTACTTACTGAGTTTTTTTTAATTGAAATAATAAAAAATATAATAGAAACGAAGTTATAAATATTTACATCTTACTCTGCTTAAGTTAAACTGAAAAATTCATGAGAAAGTATTGAATTAATCTTTAATATTCTCGGAAATTTCTAAAAACCCAAAAACATGATAACACGTAATACGTGACTATTCAAGCATACTTGATCTCAAACCTCGATAGCTGAATAACAATGAAATCTATTATATAATTATACTAGCTGTCGCCCGCGACTTCGTCCGCGCGATATTAAAAAGTAGATAGTAGCCGATTCTCAGACCTACTCAATATGCTCACAAAATTTCATGAGAATCGGTCAAGCCGTTTCCGAGGAGTATGGGAACGAAAATTGTGACACGAGAATTTTATATATAACATAAAGAGGAAAAATTTGATTGTTGAAAACTGAAGCTATTTGAAAAATTCTTTCACTGTTGGGAAGCTACACTACACGGGTGACATAGACTATATTTATTACACGGTTTTTAAACACACCCAGACAAAGTCGCAGGCAACTACCATCTTTAAACTAAAAATACATAATTTTTAAAAGTAATTTTTTTAATCTACAATTTTTTCTCCAACTTGAACTTCCTAAGAATAGTAATAAATAAAAAATACAAACGATTTTACTCTATTTTCTTTAATAAAAGACATATTATGAGTCGCAATAGAAAGTGCATAGATGTTTAACCCAGTTTCGGTAGTAACTGACTGAATGCACGTAGTGAGAATTCAGATAACCTTAATTATGTAAAAAAAAAACAGGCGACATGCGTTAACAGAACACCATTAAGTAAAGACGAAAGAGTAAAGTTTACTTATGTCGTTATTTCCAGACTATGTTTTACATATATGCTAAAATTTCGTGAGATCCATGCATCAATTCTGGAGATAATAAACATCCATCCATCCAAAAATTCGCATTCATATTAGTAAGAAGTATAGATTAATACGCTTAAGCTTTCGATTAGCGATATTGTTAAATTAATTTAACGTTGCTTAGGGCTTAATGGCGAAAGAGGGCAATTACAACATCTCTGCCCCGTGATTCTTGGTTAACGTGAATTTAGTTAAAACGTGTTTGTCACATTACTTTCAAACTTGTGTAAGCGAAAATCGAAAGGGGATGAGATATTTTTCTCGTTTCCTGACCGTCTGTTTGGAAGTGAGGCGTGACAATCACGTGTCTTATCGAAAGTTATTAAATCGATTCGAAGGGAATGCACTTTGTCAAGCCACACTGGCCTGAAAAGTAGACCGCCATCCTAGTTACTGGCTTACTGGCTTCAGTGGGTGTCTACACTAGGCCACTTGTATGTTATAGCCAGGTTCCATCCACACCACCTCGATGGCTGGCATTCCACAACGGTGCGATTCTCGCGCAACTTCTTGCTTCGCACAGCCGCGTTGTGGAACAGTCTGTCCTCGGTGGTATTTCCAAACCAATACGACTTAGGGACCTTCAAAGCGAGCATACCATTTCGTTAAAGGCCGGCAATCCATCTGCAGTTCCTCTGGTGTTGCAGATGTCCATGGTTGTCGTTGATCGCCTCGGTGTTCCCGCCGCTCGTTTGCCCCTTTCTCTTATAAAAAAAAATAGCGCGACTGGCTTACTGAGCTGGTCTAATGGAATCGGAGCATTTTAGGGATTTCTTTTTAATCAGCGTTTTTTACTAGTGTAGTTCGTCCGTCGGGGAAAAAGAGTCTCGCTTATAGTTCATTTATATTTGATATTATGCAACATGGGTGTTTTTTGCAATATCCATTGAGGAAAACTGATGATTTTGTTAACAAAAACAGTATAATCTAAACAGATAAGCTGTTTGTTTGAATGGCAGCGCTTGGTACGAGAGAGGCGTACACACACGTGATATGTTTTACGCAGATGTGACACACAATTGTATATACGTTACAACTATAAACAGGAAACATTTGCATTATTGAATAAACTCGTATTTATTAACTCGATTCACATTACATATACGTTTTTAAAGTTATTACTAGGCTGAAAATCAGCGTAATCTCCAGTGACAACCTGGATGCTGCGTCTACTATAAGAAAGATTTGTTTTTTTTTTTAACTTATGGCTTTTGTAGCTTTATTCTTACTAATATTGTAAATGCGAATGTTTGGATATATATGTTTGGATGGATGGATGTTTGTTAAAAGTTACTTCCAGAACGGCTGCATGGATTTCGATGAAATATGGCATGGAAGTAGAATAGTCTGGTAGAACACGTAGGCTACTAATTTTTTTTTATTCTTCGCGGCGGTGTCGCGATTGACAGCTAGGATTCATACATTTTCCTTTTTTATGTTAAAGTAGCTGTCGCCCACGACTCCGTCTTCGTGAAATGAAAAAAAAAAATAATTAGTTCCCGGCAATTATACGAATTTTTCTCGAAGTAAAACCATCTTTGAACTTCAACGAACATAAAAAAAATAATTGGCCAAATTGGTCCAGGCGTTGTTGAGTTATGCGCTTACCAACACATTTTGCGATTTATTTTTATATTATAATATCTAGTTAATCTAGTAAATTGTATTGAGGATTTTTGGTATTGGTATTGAGGAATTGTAGTTCCATACCTATCTGTAATGTTTGTATGGCGCTGTATGGAGACATAACAAGGTCAAATACAGTCCTTGAATTAAAAGATATTATTCACCGATCATATCGTAAAGTATCAAAGCTGACTCAACTTTGTTTCGCTCGGCTCAAGACTACAAGGTCGTTGTACACGGCCGCGAAGCCGCGACCTTCACCAAGGTCGAAAGCTGACACATTCGGGTCGTCGATCCTTACTTTAAAATTAAATAATATTGAACTTTAACATCTAGAAAATAAGATTAATTTTTATTTAAGCTTATTTGTCGTTATTAAATCAAAAATGTTAAGATCTATGACGATACAAAATAATAAGACTAACGCCCTAATATGTTATGAAATTAAATTCCAAAAACTAATTTGTATCGCACTAATTAGATGTTAATTTGGAATCGAATTTAGAACGCACACTTTAAAAGCCGGCCACTAACATCTGTGCATCTGGGTGTTGTTTTAATTTTGTAAATAAATACAAAACGTTATGAAACATTAGGTCAATGAACTGCAGGTAAAGTTGAACAAACCCACCGCTAGGGGCGCTGACAAGCAACGGCCGTTGACGCTAATCAGTACGGATACTGCGCGACAATCTTTCCGTCTGTCTACCTGTAGAGAATCCTAATCTGACCTTCAAGTTTCACACGAGGACAGAGTAATGCAGAGCAGGAGACAATGCAGTACCGCTATTAGCACGCGTTTGTAACCTCTTGCGTAGTGATTCGTATTCTTCCCCTTTGTGGTTTACGTAGCCGATCTTTTTAATTGTTTTTTTTTATTCCAGAAATTATGAAGAATCAAATTTTACAAATAATAAAACACACGATAGTAAGTCGTGCACATTTAACTCCAGAGATGGCGTTACGTCTGCTCACACCACAATGTGCACTTTGGTCCGCACCTGTTGAAGATAATCCCTTCAAAGATCCTTATTGGGCATTTTACTGGCCTGGAGGACAGGCCACTGCGAGGTAATCTTACTAATATGATAACAAAGTTATGGATGGATGTATGTTTGTTAAAAAGTATCTCTCAGAACTGTTCTACGGATTTTTAATAGCATAAGGCGGCAAACGAGCGAGCGGCCACCTGAAATCGCTGAAATAGCGAAGTGACCGTTGCCCATAGACATACGCAATTGCATATGCGTTACCTACCTTTAATCGATGGAGGAGAGGATGCACAGAAAGAAAATATTTTCCCTTTCCATGCATCATCTCATCCGCAAAGTCCTTTTCCACTTCCCATCCTTTCCTTATAAGAAAAAGGGTGGGAAGGGAAAGAGGACTAAATGAGGCCCCCGGGACGCACACTCATCAGCCGAAACGCGGAATTACTTCCACTTGAAGCCTGTCTTCTGTGTGGTCGTGGTATTTCACCGGGCGAGCTGGGCCAATTAGTGCGAAGATGTTAAAGCGGGCTCTACCACTGTTAAATGAATCTTGTTGAAAATTGCCCCGGTAAATTATTAGCAACAAACGTAAAAAAAAATCCCCAAAATACAAAGTTTCCTTCCTCATAAGCTATGTGTAAACATATACAGGTAAATAAATACGTGTACAGAATTATAATTGTTCAACAACAAACATATTGAGGAAAACCACAGAACATAGTAACCTAAAAACAGATTGTCCTTAGCAACGGTAAGTCATGATACTTCATTTAAACGAACAATTCATTTAATTTAGAAAAAAGGGTCTTGACAGACAGACGGACGGACTTCTTCTTCTTCTTCTTCCAATGCCTCTCCATTACTGGAGGTTGGCCGTCAGCTCAGCGAACCCTTTCCTGTCCTGTGCCAAGAGAAAAAGTTGTTCAACGCTGGCAATATTGGTCCATTCCCGGATGTTTCTTAGCGGACGGACGGACAACAAAGTGATATATCATAGTTGCTCGTAATACGTGTACAGTCGACACTATGACAACCGTCCAAAAAGTACAACATTAGAACTCATTCAAAATTAATTTGATACTTTATAGGCGTCTTCGCTCTTGACCTATAAATAATTAAATAATTGGACCGAAAGTAATGTTCACTCTGAAGTCCATAATATCTCCTACACCGGCGTTCAAAAGGTTAAAACAAATTTTAAAGTAAACATTATATTTTTTGAAGTAATACAAAATATTTTTCCCGTTCTAAAACAAAACAAGATAAGAAACAAAGTTAGCTATTTATTGGTAAAACCACTTATCACTAAACTTGATTGCGATTTGCACGTAAAAAAATATTTTTCTTTCATAATTGCAATGTTTGGTAAATCCAATGTTTTTCTTTATCATTTACAAATAACAAGTGAAATCAAACTTTATTTCAATGGAATAGAGCTGTATTTCCCTTGTTGTGTGACGATGTAAAGTTTTATGACATGTTTTGTTGCAAAAAATGTAAACAAACAAGTGAGTTATCAACAGTAGCTTACATGATGAGTCATGCGAGGGATTTCATGCGACTATTCATAGTATGGACTTAGATTTATTGTTAAGCAAAAAAAAAATATATTTACTATAAGATATTAGGTAACACATATCGGAAAAAAACGAGGTTTATATAAAGCGTTAAATGTTAATCGACATTTGCATATAATTAATATTTAACGCTTTATATAAACTAGTGTCAGTTTTTAACGACAAAATTATTTATATATTCACTTACTTATTTATTCATTTAGGTACTAAACAGCCGAATGCAATAAAAAAACACTTTTTTTATACGATAATGGGCCATACGAGCAGCGGTAACGACTCCCATGGACATGCGCAACACCAAAAAAACTGCAGATGCGTTGATATAACTGGAAATTAGTTACATAAAAGCTAAATAAAGTCTATCATGACTAATTACCTAATTATATGTCTTAAATAATCCAGTCACAAAAATAACAACGAAAGTCTAATATCAACACTAAATAAACAATATACATAAATTTGATTATTTCTAAGTTGATTTCTTACAAATTTACGTTATTTTTTTATCGTTTAAAAAATATTTTAAGGCGTAACAATCTAGTAAGCAACTATTTTTAAAATATTAAAAAAAACATGTTTGTACTATAGATACGGTACAGAGAGAGAAGTGGCCGTATTGTGATAGAAAGAAACAATATAACCTAATCCTTGCATAAGAATGAGATAGATAGGTGGCGGTAGAGAGAGACAGATATATAGAAAGTTGTTATTGAAAGACAGAGACGGCGATGTCTGAGTCACCGAGGAATGTGTACAGAATTTATCAGAATGAGTCATTTCGTGAATTCTTCGAAATACTTTCTAAAAGAAATCTAAGGAAAATGTAATTTAATTAAATATTTCCTAATTATTATTAAATGTTTATTTAAATAAATAATAAAAAATGTAACTCAAAAATTCAATTTTATTGCCACTTTTCTTACTAATATTATAAATGTGAATGTTTGGATGTATGTTTGTTAGTACATATATCCAGAAGAACTCATTAGATCTCGATGAAATTTGACAAGCATGTAGAAATGAGTCCGGAAGACAGACATACATATATACTAAATTTTTTTTGTAATTCTGCGCGGACGGAGTCGCGGGCAAAAGCTAGTATTTAATAATAATGTATACGTCTCCCAATATACTTTAAATTTATTTGTTTTTATCCCTCCAATTCTTAGTATTAACGCAATGTTTTCTGTAAGCCGCATTACTGAGAAAATCCACCCCTAACTAGTCACCCTTAACAACGATTCTGAGAAAACATCGTAAATTCCTCTGCGTAACTCAATCTTTGTCATAAAGAGAAATAAATAAATAATATAAGATAGATTTGTTAGGACCGCGTCTAATGGAATTCTGTTGTCTCTGCCTACCTATCTAGGTTACGGGCGTGATTATGTTGTTATAAAAGTCTGTATTTAATAATCACTTAGAGTCAAAATAATCTTACTAATATAAAAAATTAGAATGTCTGGATGTATGGATGGATGTTTGTCAGAAGGTATCTTCAGAACGATTGCATGGATCTTGCTGAAAGGCACAGAACATAGTCTGGAGGAACACATAGGTTGCTAATTAAGTTTTTTTTTTAATTCCTAACGAACGGAGTCACGGGCAATAGCTAGTAATAGTTATATCAACAGTTTCATACAACTAATAAACAAAAATAATTATTTTTGATATTTTCAAAGAGAATGTTTCTAGCTCGGATCACACGCGTTGTGTTTTCAAAAATTTTTTTTGAAGTTTTATAACCGTGGAACTGTACGGTAATAAAACTGTTTTTGTGTACAGCATCTTTATTCGGAAAACATCAAATAAATCGCTTTTAACGCCTTATTCGGGGAACCAATAGTTGATACTTATTTAGGGTTGTCACTTATACATTGTGTGATTGCTCCGTTTCTGAGCAATGATATTTTTATAGATAAATCTCGCCTTCTAGTTACATAGTCTACTTTAACTTAAAATAATTTGTACTTTTTAATTGAAAATTAAAAAAACTAAAAGATTTTTAATATCACAAATTCAGTTCGCTTATTAAAAATTCACTAAAGCGTGTACTTTAAAATTTACATACATTTTTGGTTCGAGTAAAAAAATTATGCTTATGTGACAACCCTATTAATTATCAAGCAGATGGGAAGCAGAATGACGCACGCGGACAAACCAATCTGCAATGAGTTTTTACATTGATAGTGGTATAACCACATTTTGATATAAAAACGTGGAAAGACGCACTTTGAATTACAAAATTATCTTTTTCTTCAATATATTTTTTTCGCTGTAATTACAACGCCATCTATTGAGCATTTTATTCCTACATCTAATTACACATATTATTATAAATCACATTGAAGTTCAGTATAAAGAAAATCGTGATCTACATTTTAAAGAAGGGTTGAGATTCTGATCTTTTTTCGAAAAAACTTATCAAAAGGTTTTTTTTTTTCAGATATATTTTGGATAATAAGCATTTGGTAAAAGAGCGCGTGGTTATCGATGTGGGTTGCGGTTGCGGCGCTGGCGCCATCGCGGCCGCAATGGGAAACGCGCGCAGAGCTGTCGCTAATGACATAGACCCAGGTATTAAAAATATTGAATATAAAATATGTATAATAAAAAAATTACACAGCAGTATTATTTCAGTAAAATAAAATTCTCCGAAGTCTTGGTGGCATACAAGAGTTATCATAAAAACATTTTGTAATACCACTGCAACATTGTTAAAGATGACTAATTCTAATTTTGTTTTTATTAAACTTATTTATATGGAAACAAAATTATTTTGCATTTTATAAGAAAAATTAATATCTTCATTTTTAGCAAAAGCAAAATTTGGAGATGCCGGGGATCGAACCCGGGGCCTTTCACATGCAAAGCGAACGCTCTACCACTGAGCTACATCCCCAGCTGAAAATACTGTTCAAACTACGAATCAATTTAAACGCAAAAATTAAATCCACCACTACTTAGGCTACTGAATTTCATTCCAGTTGCGATCATAGCTTCACAATTAAACGCTCAATTAAACGGAGTTGCTATAGCTACCAGTTCTGAGGACCTGGTGGATACTGTCTGCTCCTGTGACGTGGTGTTGGTGGGAGATATGTTGTATGATGAAGAGTTTGCTGACAGACTATTCTCGTGGCTGACGCGCTCAGCACGCGAGGGGAAACTGGTCAGTTACCTAAACTAATAATGTTGTTTGGCAAACTTTCGCATTAATATACTGAACTGTAAATGTGTGTCAACATTACGTATTGTGTTTACAGGTTTTGATTGGTGACCCAGGACGTCACGGTCTGACAGGGGAGAGACGGTCTCAGCTGAGTCTATTGGGAACATATCCTCTGCCGAAGGACACATGTCAGGAGAACTACGGATATACTGACGCTAATGTATGGAGATTAAAAGCGAATTGAAATATTAAAATGTTTTTTTTTATATATTTATCAATTAGAGAATAATAGTTGTAGGTGATAAAATGTTGTATTAGTAAGACAAGAGATGGCGCTGCGTTAACTTGGAAGTGTAAAATAAAATTAAACCATCGTGCGGTAAGTGACCGCTATTTTCTATGACGAAAAAATATCAAATAAAGTGTATGTATGTGAGCAATTAATACGTGGGATTAACATCATCATCAGCTCACTAAACGTTCCCACTGAGGGGCTCGGAGCCTACCCTAAGTTAAGGATGATTAGGGATTAACATAAATTAACTAAAATACATTTTTTGGATAATAGCATAAATAAAACTAAATATATAAATTCTAATTTATTTATAAAATTATAACAAAAATACAGTTGCATCGTTTTGCAGGCACAAGTAAATTCGTTGTAACATTATGTTATGAAGTACATTTCGTACGTCGAATGTATTACGATGTACTTACACTAAAAGTATCGTAACATTACATCTATTTACATTTCGGTTACATTTGTATAATTATAGTTTACATTATATTAGAATAATCATGTACAACTATGTAATTTGAGATAATGAATAAAAAATAATATACAAAAGTTTAAACTTACAAACAGTAAGGAAATATTTCAAAGTTTTACAATTTATAAATGAGATTCTGATTTGCATTTGAAATATCGTAGAACGCCATCTACCGCCAAAATAAAGATTGCAAATATCCTGCACATAATTTTGGTTAATTTTGAAGCGCCATCTATGAACGAGCAGCATTAACTCCACAAGTTGATAATTGTGGTAACTTTCAAGCGCCATCTATGAGCAAGATTTAAAAATTAAAGTTGGTAGTTGTGCATTGCGTTGGCGTATAGTCCGTGCTTGGGTCTCGGAGTCCGGCTGGAGTGATGCGAGTGGTGTGAAGGGTGCGAGTAGTGGCTGTAGGAGTCGAGGTCTGGTGGTGGCCGCACCAGCAGCACTGGCTGTAGCGCCAGCGACTTGCGCGACCCCGCTACCGACTGGGCGTCTGTCACGTATGCGTTGTTCACTTCACCTGTTGACAGATGGCGTTAAATTTAATTACGAACATTCTTACTATTTCCTTTCGATCCTACGTTAGAATTTTGTTATTTAACTTAATTTAATTTCGTAATTATGATACAAAATTATAATATTAGTAAGTTATGTACTAGAAAGATTTGTACTGTTTTTTAATTCTGTGTCAAAGAGCGACTGTGTAAATACATATTCATGAACACAAACACAAAGAGGTCAATCGCGGCCTCGTTCACGTCGTCGCCAAAGACATGTTAAAGAATAATAATTCGATTTATGATTGACTTATAACAAGTGTTATTTAATAGGCGAATAGTTATATTGAATTTAAATTAAGTATTAGCGTTTATGTATATTTTTTTTGTATGATTTGACCAAAAACTATTTGTTTCTTTCCCATTTCATTTATTAAGTGTTAAAAAGATTACTTTGGTTAACTTAATGCAAAGGCAGTCAATCATGAGATACAAATCTGATAATATTGCAGACGAAGAAATATCCATCAAAATCTCACAAAAGCAAAGTATCTTTATCACACGGAATGCGATATTATTCTGCCATAAATATTAACATGTACATGGCATGTTAATAAGCAAAGTGACCTCGAGTCCACGAAACTGAGCGCGCAATGTAACATGAGTTGTCCGGCCTGCTCGTCACGACCTGATTACTGTGAAACCGAGTCCAAGTTTGATAGTGAGGGTAATGTGAACAACTTCGATGGCTCCAATGTAAACTATCGAATGCATGAATTAGACATCCAAAATCTATAGTTCTTTTTTTTTTCTTTTTTATTCGGGTTTTTTTTTTAATTTTATTTTATTTTATACCATAGATTTAAGACTTTATGATTGTAAATATAGAAATTGTAGATTAAAAAAAAAAAATTAATATTATATGAAATTATCATCGTAAATAAAGTGTAAAAGTGTAAAGTTCTTTTTTGTTAAGTGTTTTAGTTAAAGTTCATTCTAACGTGACTTTCCTTAAGCTAAAATTTATATATATATCAAGTTAATTTAAAAACCTTAATCGGGGGATAAAACGTAAAATCATGGCTTACGATAGTCTACGTAAGAGCCGTAAGATAGTTAAACGTTAACGCTGGAATCTTGCACGTTGCTGCGAAAGCCAAACGTAATCGAACCGATCCTATACAGAAAACTAACGTTATTTTGGTTAACTGCAGCCAACTTTATAAGCTAGGCTTCGCGATTACAAACCTATTCTAAGATGGAGCAAACTTATTACATTTCTCGTAACTATAAAAAGGGACAGTCCCTTGCAAAAGGGACGTGTGATCACGTTACCCCTGCCTAGCTTTTGCAGTGCGCTAGTCTTACAACGTACCTTTGTACAGCGAGGGAGGTGGGTAGGCAGTGTCAGGTTGTAACTTCAGGTGTCTAGTGGCTAGGATGAAGGCGAGTGCAGCCAGCACGATGCCATCCAGCGCACCTATCACCGCCAGTAGATACGCCCAGCGCACATGACACCGGCCAATGTTGTATTGATCAGCTGTTGGTCCGCACGTCTCCTGCACGGCCAGTTCAGACCAGCCTGCTGGATACACAGCCACACCGCTCACCAGACAAGCAGCTACGAACAAACAACAAAAATACAATAAATCAACAATGGTTGAAATAGTAACGACATCTGTTATCGAATAGAGTCACTACTAGTCAAATAATAACAAATAAAAAACAGGGAATGCCTCGCCCTATGTAGTCTTTTTAACGTTTATATCAAGGGAAAGAAGGTTCTAATTCTAACAAAGGAAAAAAAAATAGTACTTGGGATAGTAAAAGATTCTTGTTCTGCTTATTTCTTTGTCAATTAAAGGTGACGCATTTACAATTTATGATATTTTAATAATAAAATATAGCTTAATACGGCGTATAGCTTTCACTCATGCTCTTTTAAAGAATATTAATAGTATGTTTTTGTATTTGACAGTGAAAACGCGTGATACGATTGAAAGTTTGTTATCCAGCGGTCCGTGAACTCCGCGTCGTAACGAAAGCTGTTATAGTTTCAATTTCGTTGCTAATTGAAGGGAAAACTGCTGGCGAATAATCTATAGTAGTCACCACACGTTTATATATTTATGAGACTTTATTTTTGTTATTAAGTATATGGATATGTTTTTGTTGTCTGAAGTTTTTGCATAAGAAAATTGTATATAACTATCAGCACTGAATAATATAAAAGTAGTTTGTCTCTGAATATAATGTTAGCATTAATAGCGAAACTAATTTTATTTCTTATTTAATCTACTCGATTATTATTTAAAATTATACCATCCTACTAATATTATAAATGCGATTGTTTGGATGTATGAATGAATGTCAGAAGGTATCAAAATAGTCTGGAATAACGCATAGACTAATTAAGTTTCTTTTTTAATGCGTAGACGGAGTCACAGGCGACAGCTAGTTAACATGACGTTAATATAAGTGTAAATGAAAATAGATAACCTACAATCTTGTAAAACACTATGGTTACTAATATCTATAGACACACTATAATTTATGGTGCAGTTTCGTTTAGTTGCAAATGATAATTTTCTACGCCATAGAAAGTAACAATTTAGCTTCAAAGGAAAGCGAGGGAAAGCGACAGTTACAAAGTTTAAATTAATTATAGAAAAGTCAATTATTTCGTAGTAATTATTATAAACCAACCCCTGTTTAGTAACGTGATAGTATATAATTTCAGTTGTAACAAAAATTATGTCTTTTTATATACTACACTTGCAGTTTCTCGCGACTTCGTCCGCGCGGTATTAAAAAATCTATTGATAATTAATGTCGACTGTTAATAATTTAGCTTCCCAATAGTGAATATTTTTTTCAAAATTCATTTCCTTAGTTTCCGTGCCTATTCAAAACAAACAAAAATGAATCTGAATTTAAAATAACTTAGTAAGTAATCTATGTGTTCTTCTAGATCAGTGGTTCCCAAACTTATTTTGTCTACTGCCCACTTTGAGAATAAATATATTTTTAGCACGCCCATATTTTCACATATTTAAAAACCACTATAACTTCAAATTAAATTAATTAATTATTGTGACCTATATATGTATATTAGCGGGGAATTCTAAACGAAACTTTTACTATAACCCGCAACTTGAGACCTGCAGCGCCCAAAAGGGGGCGTTATCGCCCACTTTGGGAAATACTGGTCTAGACTATGTTCTATAGCTGTGCTAAAATTCATTGAGATCCCTTTAGCCGTTCTAGAGATATCTTATAGCATCCATCCATACATCCATCCAAACATTCGCATTTACAGTATTGATAAGAGTAGTACAGATAAACCTTCATCACGAATAAGTTCATCTAGTTATAGCGATATAAAAATCCGTTAAATAAATTTTCTTAAATTTAGTCTTAACTGTAATAAAAGTTAATTAAGACTAACTATACGTAATTCTAGATAACACATAAAGTTCGATAAAAAGCTGATGATATTTTTACGTAGAAAATTAACACGTACAGTTGTTCAGCTAACTAACAGATTTTGTCCGTTACTTGAACAATAGATGGCGCTTCTCACGCGTGGGCCTTTTTGCTTAAGTTCATCAAACGTTTTCTCATTTAATATAACGGGATATTTCAGAACTAAATACAATATAACGTAATCTATACATAGTAATAAAATAAGAGTGTCTGTATGTAACGTAAAATATTTGATTTCATAACGAAAAATTGCTAATCTTTTCGCAAAGTCGCGTTTGTACAGAGTAATCTCCGGAACTGCTGGACCGATTTTGCACGATATAATAAGGCTACTTTTTCATTAAGCGCTGACGAAGTCGCGGGCTACTGCTAGTATATATAACATGTGATAACTAATAATAAAAGCTTTTTAAGGTTAACAAAACCTTTGGTTATAAGAACAAATACCGATAGTGATCATCAGAGGAAAAGAACGTTTTTAATGATAATTTAAGCTACAAATTTAAGACCTCAAGGCAGTTGACTATCTTGCTATCATTTAAAGCAATA